GAGGTGAAAACTGGTTGAAAATTAGGTAGAGTTTCGCGGTGTCTATCGATGAATGTAGGGGATGTGTGCGGAGTTAGTGGAAATCAGCATATTGTCGAGACAGTTTTGAGGGTGTTCGATGTGAATTGTTAGTAGTGAAACTGGCAGAGTCGATGGAAATGATCCAGATTTTCTATTTCGCGATTGTGTGAGAGATCTTCGAGACTTTCGTTTAGGAGGCCTTTAAAATCTTCGAGACGTTCGAGACCATTCAAGACCTTTCAAGACCTTTCAAGACCATTCCAGACCTTTCAAGACCTTTCAAGAACTTTCGAGACCTTTCAAAACCATTCTAGATCTTTTAAGACCTTTCAAGAACTTTCGAGACCTTTCAAAACCATTCCAGATCTTTCAAGACCTTTCAAGAACTTTCGAGACCTTTCGAGACTTTTCAAGACCTTTCAAGAACTTTCGAGACCTTTCGAGACCTTTCGAGACTTTTCAAGACCTTTCAAGAACTTTCGAGACCTTTCAAAACCATACAAGACTTTCAAAATCCTTCACAACCTTCCAAGACTTCCAAGATCCTTCAAGACCTTCCAAGACTTTCAAAACTTTCCAAACACTTTCAGCTCTGTCTAATCCTATCGAAACATTCGAGGCTCGAAGCACAAATCACTCAAGACCTTTCACAGAATCGAATCATATTCGAAGCGATCCGAATTTTCCTCCACTTGCCCCGACGCGGAGCGGTTCGCCGTATATACCTACATATGCACATACTATACAAGTACATACTTCAGTGTCCATCACTGCCCGTGAACCCGAATAATCGAATGAATCGGCTGGCGAGCGCGGTTTCCCAGCCCCGAAGACACTTTCGACGAGCCCGGGCGAGAACCGATTGTCAGCTGGCCGGGATATCGAGCATCGGTGCAGCGGCGCGTGCATCTGGATCGCCTCGAGGAGCACGTGCACCCGTCGTGACGTCGAAAACTTTCACGCTGTGCCTCGCTCTCGTCCGGTATTTTTCATTCCTTCCTTTTTTTTCTCTCGTCCCCTCCTCATCTTTCAATTTTTTTTCCTCCTTTCGCTCGGACAGTCGACCGACTGGCAGGATCGATGGAGACCCGAGCCGGCCTGCGACCAGGGACGTCATAAAGGCAGGACATCGATATCGTTTTAAAACGCGACTGGGGAATCGATTCACGAGAGCTTTTCGATCCTAATAATAGGACGAGCGGACGCGGCCGCTTTTCCAGCGACAAGTGAACTTTTATTTTTGAAATTTTGCCCTCTCGTTTGGGTAATGGAATTACAGTGGACTGGCCATGGATAATTATAGAATGATTAGGAATTTTGGGATTGTTGTTTCTTTGATATTTGCGTTGATCAAAATGTCTACGTTCATTTAAATTCGAGTATTTTTCTGTTAGTGATTTATTTTTCAAGTGAATATCGATGTAAGGGTGTTAACAATATGGGAATTCTAAGCAGATCTTTAATTTTCACTCGAGCTAAATGAAGTTTAGAAGAGTATGAGTACATATTTCTCTATTTTTATTATTCACAGCATTGGGACATCCCATGAACAATAACGATTCTTTTTAACCTCACGCACAGTGTATTACATATTACATAATAAAGCAGAACAATTCAACACTGAAACTATTATTTTATCTTTCTACTTCGCCGTTAGTAAAAATCTAACAGATATTTCTCTAGGAAACTATTCAAGAAATTAATGTGCCAACACGCAATCTATTGCAAATCAATTAAACTCCCGATAGACGCACTCTTCGAGTTTCTACAGAGAAGTTTCTAAAAGTCAGTTTATCTGGTTCCGTTTATCTTAATGTCCAAAGCTAGAGGACCTTAAAAAAACTGTATCATTTACGAGACCCATTCGTGTCGTCTCGCTATATCAATTCGACGTAAAATAAAACGTCGGCGTATCAATTAGATCTCTTTATTATCGTCGTTATGGTTACTGTTATTATATCCTGCGATTCGAAGTGAACGATCGCTGCTGGCGGCGGTCAAAGGAACCATGAACTTGCCCATTAGAATTTGTAAGGCTTCCCCGGCACGGTGAAAACGTGCTCTCACCTCGCCGGCGCGGCCGAGGTGTTCACCTCAAGGTTGTCGCGAGTGTTTCTCCGCTCAACCGGTTTTTCGAACCGCGACCGCTCTCGCTCCTGTTCCGACGCCGATCCGCACGGAGACCGACATCATTAACCCCTTAAACGACCGATACAGAATCGAAGAAGAAATGTCATCTTCCCATGGAAAAATGCGCGCACTTGCCACTCGATTTGTCTGGAATCGTTTGCTCGTCAGGTGTCCACCAATCTTAAATCTTAGCAGTCCTATGTCGAGTCAGACTCGACATTCTATTTTATTGCAACCTCTACCTGTTTTAACAATTTTTTCTATATTTATTTGTAGTATCACAATTGTACCATTTATAGGTAACATTTCAATTACTCCCAAATATTCTTGAATAAATAAATAGAGTGTCACATTAAGCTGTAATTGAATGAACTAACGTCTAACTTTGCACGTTCGCACTGCTATAGAGACATAATGTGCAAATTCTAAATTCTTCTTTCTATTGGAACATAGCACATTGACGAAACAAATTAGAATACGTGAATGTATACGAAATTTTCGATTCTTGAACGTTTCGCTATAGAAAAGAACTATTAACCCTTTGAACTTGAGAGGTCTCTCAGTCACCACTTGATTTGATTTGCAAAATTATGAAGTCTTATATATAATATTAAGCTTTGCATTATGCATAATTTATATATGTTTTCTCGTTAATTAATTTCAAAGAACATCGTCTGTATCTCATCGCAGAATATTGAATATGTCTAGTGAAAAACTTTCGAGTGCAAAGGGTTAAGGTATTGGGAATGGGAGTGCAAAGGGTTAACACTAAAACCACCGAGCACTAACATTTTAAAATTGCTCGATAGAAACTCGAAGAGTGCGTCTATTGGTCTATTGAGATTTTAATTGATTCGCAATGCAGCTTGCGTATTGCTAAATCAATTTTTCGAATGATTTCTTAGAGTAACGTCTGTTATCTTTTGAACAATTGCTAAAAGAAGGAATCAGGAATGAGTCATTTCGACCTGTCTAGTAGTTTTAGTGTTAACTCTCATTGATGTTTATTGTTCTCAGATTTATTTTCGTTGTAACTTCTCTTTGTGTCGAATTTCTACTTTAATTCTCAGTTTTAAATTGTACTTTCATTTTTTAACATTTCTGGGCATCAGTTTAAATCTTTTTTTCGGTTTGAGGCTATTTTTGTTGCTCTTAATTGCTTTTGTAATTACTTTCCTTTATCTACTTTCATTTTTTAATAATGACTACCGAGTTTAGAAGCTTTTTTAGAGCTTCGGCGTTGAAAAGGCCATTCATTCTACCTTTCATTGCTGTTCATTATTCTCAACTTCACTCTCGTTAGTGCTTTTCTTTGTATCAAATTTTTACTCTAGTTTTGAATTTTAATGTCTATGTTCACTTTTTAACATTCCTGGGAATATGTCCTTTTCACGGGCATTTCCAAAGGTTCTCTGTTCCAAAGTTCATTAACCCAGACCTTTCATTGCTGTTCATTAGCTTTAAATGTTTGTTTCAACCAGTTTTCTATCGCGATCTCTTTAAAATGTTTTTCATAATAATGATTTATATTCTTTTCATTTCGTCTTGGCTTCCAAACATTCAAAACCTCTTGGAGTTTATAAATATATTTTAATTATCGAATATATTCGTCACACCATAAAATCTCTCAGTTCCTCCGCGACGTGTATACTCGTCAAAAACAGCCAACCGGTTAATACAATGAGATCGCTCGTTTCCAGAATTACCACGCATTTACATGTAAACGCGATTCCTCGTTTTCTGTACGCAACGCGTTAATTGGCGCGACCGAAACACTTCGTTATTTCCGTACGAGCAGACCGCGGTAACGCCTGCTTCTTTTCTCAGCGATCGTGTTTCGTAACGAACGCAACGGGCCTTGTGGAAAACCGTGCGCCGATTATCTCTCGCTCCCCCGAAAGTTTCGTGTCTGCGTGACCGCCGACGTTCTCGCATTTTGTATTCGTTGGAGGCACGTGGCCGCCCGCGACCATTGCTCCGCGATAATTGTTTCTCCGGTGTTTGTACCGGGTGATTCACCCTCTGCGGCGACTCGAAATTGATCGCGAGCCGCCGGTCGTGTTGGTACGGGAATCCGTGATTCGAAGTTGTATGATTTCGAAGCAGAAATACGTTGCAATAATTATTCCCCTTACTTTTCTCCAGTTCTTTGCGAGTATAGCGAAACAATCGTTGCACGAACTTTGATTATTCAGCCGGTCGTATTGGTACGAATACCTGTAGTTCGAAATATGATTTCGAAGCAGGAATAGGTTGCAATAATTATCCCCTTTCTTTTCTCCAGTCCTTTGTGAGTAAAGCGAAACACTCGTTATACAAACTTTGATTATTCAGCCGGTCGTGTTGGTACGAACACCTGTAGTTCGAAGTATGATTTCGAAACAGGAATAGCTTGCAATAATTATCCCCTTACTTTTCTCCAGTTCTTTGTGAGTATAGCGAAACACTCGTTGTACGAACTTTGATTATTCAGCTGGGTGTTGGTACGAGAATCTTTCCACTAATCCTCTTTCCCAAGCAACACAGAACATTCCGTTAAAATGCATAAGAGTACCAAAGTGGATACAAGAAACGTACGGATAAAGAGTAATCTATGCAAATGTATGCACGTGAATTCCTGTATCTTGTCTCTTTAGAGTCATTCAAATTTTCAATTCAACAGTTTCCGCGTGCTTAAGAAAGAGAAGAAACTAGAGAAATAATTCTACTACGATTCATTATTCCATATTTTCCTAGTTCATTTGCCATTTGCCACACACTGTTCGATAATAATTAATTTGTTCAGCTGTTCAGCTCGCAATTCTAATTTCTCCATTGGTTCCCCAGCGATCTATGTTTGCTTAGGTGTCTTGTTAGACGGTTTCGAGAAATTAAGGGTGGGAGAAGGCAACTTCCTTAGCTGCGTTTAGTATATGACGGAGGATCACGGTGTTTGCTTTCCATTCTCGCGTGATACGGCGCCGGTCGCGCGTGTCGGGATCGCGATCGACGATTTCCCGTGTCTATTGTCCTCGCGGTGATAACAGGTCCAAATGTGGCGCGCCATTGTCCTCGTTCGCACCATTTTTTGTTATTCAGATTCTCGAGGAGGTTCGACTCGCGCCTAAGGAGCTTCACGCTCGTCCGTTCGTACGTACGTGATTGGTGTCCCGATTGTTCCACGTAGTAGTACGTTTTATCGGAGGGTAGTGGTGTACGTGGCGAGCAGTGGTAACGAGTGTGCGTGTCGGTGCGTGGATCGAAAAAGACTTCGAGTGAGTTTAATGCTGACTGTTTTCAGATATTTGTACGTACGTAGTACTACGTGCTTATATTGAGAGAAAATCATATTCTTTGTTATTGTTTGATATGGTTTCTTTGATACTGGAAATCGTTTGTACTGTCTTGTAATAATTGTTTTATATTTTCTGTTTGCACCCATCATTTTTGTTAGTTCTTGTTTTATACAGTTTCATGATTCTTATTTTCGTTATTTTTTTGTATGGATTCTCGTTACGTCCTAATAGCTTTTAATGAAATTTAGAAAAGTAAATAAGTGGCACGTAGTATTATGAACAATACTTTATATCAAATTTAACATAGTCTCAGGATTCATCAAAACTTCAAGCGAATTCTGAAATTGTCCCAAAACTAGCACTACGTTTCCAGTAATAATTCAAAAATTCGTACATATTTCAACTGAATTCTAAAGTTGTCCCAAAACTAACGTAGTACTACGTTCTCGATAATAATCCACACACAATCATGATCTAAAAATTCATCAAAATTCCAACTAAATTCTAAAATTATCTCAAAAGGCAACGTAGCACTACGTTCTCAGTAGCAATTCTCGCCGCGACAGAAGATTTCCAGGACGCGAGTATTGTCGCAGCCACCGAAAAGCCACACGTTTTCGTCGATCAATAGCGACAGGCGTGACACGTAGTTCTACGCTCGTCTATATGAATCCTTATTGCTCTCGATATAAAATAATCCGCGTTACACAACCGTGATCGATTCTCGGATGCATTATTAACGCAGCATTGGGACCCTGACGCGTCGAGTTTTTGCCACGTCTCTCCGCAACCGGATAACATATGCACACGCAGCGAACACATGCATAGCTCAGCTGGAAAAACCAAGTGGATTTTTCATTCGTCCGTTTTTCCGCTTAAACGCCATTTTACTCGAATAGACGTTCAATCTTTCATTCGAACACTCGTTCTTTGTACTCGTCGAACGTTGTTCGAATGAATTAACCCTTTGCACTGGACAAGTGTTTCGCTGGAAATATTCAATGTTTCCTGATAAGACAGATGATACGTTCTGAAACGAACTCAACGATACATCATACGTACAGTAAAGAGCGAAGTTCTTTTTATTTCAATATTTCGCATGCCGATCCACGATACGAAGCGCAATGTTAAACGTTAAGTATTACATTTTATAGCGTATTAAATCAAGCGGCTACCGAGAGCCATTATAGAATAAGAGCCATTTTGTTTTAAACTGGTGTAAGATCATGCCTGGCAAAAAATTAATGAGTTTGAGTGCGATATAGGCGTCCTGTTTGTTTATCCTACTTGATCAATACTAAATCTACCATAATTATGAAAAATTATCTAGTAATCATTAGAAGATAACAGATGTCTATAACTCTTTGAAAAATGTTGAATGTGTCTGGTGTAAATTTCCAATTCACCGGTATTATATATTATACTACATTGTTAGTTACGCTAAACAAATATTAGACAGGCGATATTTACGTTCGAATCCATTGCAAATATTGACACCGAGATAACAGTATTTCATTTCGACTTAAATGAGATAATGAAGATAGGTAAAAGAATATTTCATTTGAATTCACAAGAGTTATATAATATTCCTATTTGTTGAATTCCGTTTGAAATCTTCGCGAGCATCAACGCGTTGTAAAAGGACAAAGGGTTAATCATACAGTAGACCGCGTCTTTTTCACGTATTCACTGATTAACCCCTTGGCGTACTATTTACTTTCGTTACTAAGCTTGTAATATTTTACTATCGGAAATTTCGTTTGAAGATAATACATTGATAATAGAAAAATAGTTCGCTTTGATCCGTGGGTAATGAACAACATTGATTCTCGTTAAATTAGTTTAGAAATCTTCATCACGAGTCTCACTCGTCATTGTACGGCAAGGGATTAAAGTAATTCTGTCACTTTCGATTTTCGACGTTTTCCTTATCGATCGCACGATCCGGATCGCCATGCGTCGATTTCTGTTTATCGTGCACCGAGTCCAGCCGATCGGACAATTTACACACGGCCCACGCAACCGTCGTGCTCTCCTCGGCTCCACAGGCAGTTAGCCACGAAACGCATCTGCCTCGTTTTCCAGACCAGCGAGCCCGCGATTGCTACTACGACCGGGGATCGATAGAAAATGGCCCGCGAACCCTTTTATCTCCGGCTCGTACGAATAATAGCAATAGTAATATTAATAATAACGCTATTGACGATAGTGGCGGCGCCGTTACGCGAATTAGGCTCGCCAGCGAGCATAGAGAAAGGGAGTGTTCAATCAATTTGCTGATAGAATATATGATAGAATGAAATATGTTCCATTAACTTCACTGTTTCTCTCTTTTTTTATTAGCATATCTGAACGTTGAATGTTTAGAAATGATTTTGCAAGTGATAATAATAGAATTATAGTCGCGCGGTGAATAATAGCAACGATGGCTGCTGCACGATAGAATAAAATATAATTCTGTTATCTTGAATTGAATATCCTTTTATTTCGCGTCGATTGTTTACCGGCGAAACGACCGGAATGAACGAATAAACGTACCGGCGCATCAATGGCTGCATGTATCGAACACACGGGAAATTGAAAACTTTTAATTTCGCGAAGTCGCGTTCGACGTTGCCTCGCTTATGATCCTATTATTCGGGAAATTCCATTGGAATTTCGATTCGCTGATATTTCCTGGCAAATTCGATGCTTTTTCGCTCGGCGAGCTTTATCATTGAATAATCGGAAGTATCGCTGTCGAAATTAACCCTCTGCACACGAGGATATCGGGTATTATTAAACATTCTTTCGACAGAGTGAATTGCCATCGATATCAAACATTGTTTCGTATCGAATGAAATTCGATATTCGATGTTAAATTTGATGTAACGTGATTAGATAGAACATATTGGGATAAAATGATTTCATCTCTCGACTCATGTATTATTGCTGTTTAATTGGGGTGGCTCTGGAGTGCAAAGGGTTAACTTGCACGGTGCGATCGCTAGGATGACGGTAAATAATACCGTGCAATTAAACGTTATATCATTCCTGTCAGAATGCCTCGTATTCGGAGAAAAAGTTTCCATTATCATACGACAGGAGATTCTGCAATGTCTACGAACATTTTAACTGGCACGCGAGATAATGATCATTCGTCTAATGATTCGCGTATGATTCACTGCGTTGAATCTCTGCTCCTCGGAATGCGTTTACGTCAGCGATTAATATTTTTTCTCTCTGTTCCTCTCGTTTTTTTTAATAACGCTTCGTTGGATTCTCTCCATAAAACGTCCGACAATGCAATTCTCATTCGACCGTTTCAGTTCTGACGCATGGCATTGAACTCCTATCATGGGAATATTGGCGAGCGCGTGAGCTCGTTTCCGCGCTCATTGATAGCGATGATAATCAGATCGTTCACTGTTCGCCCCGGAAATCTACTGGAATCTCCAATGAATTTTCATTGTTTTATTTTCGGGAAATTCCACGGGAATGCGTAATACCTTTAAAAAAAGATTGACAGTGTAAACGCGAAGTGAACAGAGTTTTAAACAGTATTTTAGTGGCGATTTGAATATCGTTTGCATAAATACAACGAAGCCACTGTCAACCGAGTCATCATGTTTATCGAATGAAATATTAATTGTCGTTAATAATTCAGTGGGAAAAGGGAAGAATTTGCTTGCTGCGTGTATACGTTTAGTCTAAAGGTTAATGACTGGTAATGGACAGTTAAGACTATTAGTAGTAGATTAAGATATTAATAGACAACTGTTAAGATTATTAGTAATAGATTGAGATGCGAATAGATAGTAGGCAACAAAGTAGTTCTATCAAGCACAGTTCACGAAGGAATCATAGGTCAAGAGGTTAAAATACTTACCTTTCCCTTTTCTCGCAAAACTTTCTATTCGAACATTGTCTACATTATCTTAATCTATTTGTACCTATATTATATTCTGGTGTCTATACCTATTCATACTTATACATAATTTTATCAAAAATGTTCATTCATGTAATGTATACCTAAAATTGGTGGTTTCGAAAATGAATATTCCCTTAACACTTAGGCAACCGGCTAAAAAGAACTATAACTACAACCTCTCTCATTATTTTCAACTGCACTCATACAATTAATGCGGTTAAAAACTTTGTTTTATAAAAACAAGAACCGTATTTGATGAGTTGCAAATAATCCCACTTCAAGACTTACTAAACAACAACAACAAGCAGTAAACAGAATAAAAGGCAATACGTTGCTAAGTGAAAAGTGGGAGATCTCCCCGTTCGGTTGGCTAAGTGTTAAGCAGTCGTAACACGAAACCTTGCCATTTCTTCATGACGAATATACCCAAAAACAGCTAACTGGTTAATTATTCTTCTTTGATTCACTCGGGCAATGGCCGAGCCTCGAGAAAAACAGAAACTCGTTGACAAGGACGTTTCGAATGCGTGGCGCAGCGTATCATAGGAGATGCGTGCACGCGTGCAATAATGACGGACCGTGCACCAGCAAATTACCGTGCAAAGTTCTCTTTCGGGGAAAATAAGTGGCATCGATCGCTGATAATTGCCGTATAATAAACGACGATGCTAATGTCCATAAACGGTACACGTTACCGGAAAGTGCAGTTAATTATCGTGACTGATGCTACTCGGCTAACCGTTTCAACGAGAAACTTTGCATGCGATCTATGAATCGAACGAGAGAGCTACTCTCTTCGTTATTTTCTCTTTTTTTCTCCCTTTTTCCATTGCTGCGCTGGCTCTCGGATATTTTCCCCGTTTTTTTTCTGTCAACTGTCTCATTTGCGTGCGGAGACAAGATATTTTTACTATTTGATCACGCGATAATTGCTGCTTTCAATGATGACGTTATCATTTTATTTAGTTGATTTGTTGTTTCGTATGTAACGCTTAGTTCCACTGTTTATGTTTCGTATGAGGCGAAACACTTTTTTGGTAATCGTTGGTAATTAGTAAATTTGAAATCT